TTGTAAAGTACTTAAATTCCTAGTTAGAATGTTTATTATAACAGATTTACAGGTATAATGGTATAGAAACTTTAAATTAATCAAAAAGATAACAACGAAAAAATGAAAATAATCAATTTCTTTTTTAATATGAAATACAGAGGAATCCTCACAAAAATCACAGCATTCAATCTAGCCTCTGGTGTCAATTCCAACATCTAAGAAATAAGCAAATCCAACGTCACTATCAATTATTTACAATATAATTACCTTGAAGCAAACTCTAACATCTACGAAATTGAGCCGAGGGAGAGAACAAGCTTTCGCACGGCTACAACCGACGTCAACTCTTTGTTCTTATTACAGCGCCACCATAAGAGAGAGCACTGTTGACTGAGAGATTGAGTTATCGAGAGAGAGAGAGAGAGAGAGATTTCAAAAGCGACGACAGGGGAAGAGAGAGGGGGAGAGAAAGGGCAAGGATCGAGACTTCAAGAGAAGGGCATTGCAAATAAGATCAGTGCTGTGTAGGGGTGGAAATGGTAAATTATACTAGGGACCAATAATGACCATGTCCCCCTACCAAAAAAAAAAATAATGACCAAGAACACCTAGTATAGATTACTAATTTACTACATACTACGTAATATACAATTTTAATATAGAAAATTACATTTTTTTCTTATAACTATTTGGGTTGTTAATTTCAAGGCAGAAGGATCAAATAGGTCTATATATTAACATTGATTGTTCATCTAGCTCCATAAATTAAAATATAATTCATTTAGGCCATGAATTATAAATATTTGAACAATCAATGGCCTGGACCATATTTTAATTCATGGTGCTATATGACCAATCAATATTAATATATGGGTCTATTTGATCATTTTGTCTAATTTCAATCTACGACTTAAAAACTAATAATTTAGTGTCCTAATTATTCAATTTTTGTCAATTCAATCCAACCAAGATCAATTGTAGCTGGAATTTTTTAATCAGTTTAATTTGTTTAATGACGAGAGCAATATTGTCATTCCATGCATCTTCCGGCCAAGTGAGTCATTGCGACTCTAAGAAAGAAGGAAAGCGAGTCGTTGCGACTCTAAGAAAAAAAGAAAGCAAGCGAGTCTTTGTGGCTCTAAGAAACCTCAACGGAAAAGTATTTTATTTTACAGGCGAGTGTATGAGTATACTTATAGTTGCACATGATTGCATAAAGAGAATGTTTGCACGAGATTGCATTCGAGTATAATATTGCACTAGATTGCATTTGAGAATGATTGACCAAGTTTGAATGTTGAGCATGATTGTTTTAGTTGTATTTTGATACCCTTTTACAGCTAGTTGCGTTATGTGATCTAGAAGGCATGATGATAAATTCGTATTGATTGATTGATAGTATGAGGTAGTTATGAAGAGTTTTGTTATGAGAAATAAGTGTGGGAATATTCATGTTGATGAGTATTTATATTTGAAGCATGCATGTTGATATTATAGGTTGCAAACATATAGAAATCTGTGATGTATTTAAAATTGTCTAAGTGTTGAGTTTGTTACTTGAGTTGAGATCAAATGTTTTCCAAAGTATATTCTATAGTACTTTACAGGGTTGAGTGTGGTTATACTTAGCTTCGTGCTAATGGGTGTTTTTCCTATTTGTCTATGTGTTGTTTGTAAAACCCTTTTCAGGTGGGCCCAGCGTTACGAAGTGATCGAGTTAGACTAGTCTAGTAGTCTAAACTCCTAATACTTTTATCATGATGTTATTTTGTCAGATTTGTAGACTTATGTTGTTTGATGATGTAGACATTGGGGTGTGTTTTCCCCTTATGACTTTAGGTTAAGTTTTATGGATGTTAGTTATTTTATTTTTGTTCTAGTTCCATCCTTAGCCTGAGCAATCACCACGGAGTGGTGATTGTGGCGGTGATATCCCCACTAGTTTACTTTTTAAGTTGATTATCCGTTGCTTAGTTTATGTTAATTATGGTTTAAAATTGTAATTAAAATTTAGAAAAGTGGGGTGTTACATAGACAATGAAGAAAGGAGACTGTCATATGTCCCCGAGGGAAGTGATCATGTTTTTGAAGGCGATGGGGTACCCATCCACGACAAAAATATACATTTCGCAGGGCAAATTTATGGTACCAACATTGATGCATTCACTTAGAATACCCCTATGTGTTTTCACACTCAACACTCGCAACAGAGAAGGAGTTGGAATCTTTCAAGCCATATAAAAAATCAATATATTCCAAAAATACGTATATATATATATATATATATATATATATATATATATATATATATATATATATATATATACATATATATACACTAGTTTTTTACGCGCATTGCGCGATTGGGATAATGCCCAATATATTTTTTTTAAATAAGTACTTTAAAGTATATTAATGCAGGATTATATTGAAATTGTTCATGCATAGATAATTGAAGGTTGAATTTGTGTATTTAAATAGGTAATTCTTCTCCGAAAGGTTGAGTCCCCAACCCCAAGGGCTCCCCACACTCCGACCCGACAGAGCATTGTGAGAAGTTGTAAATCACGGTGACTCAATGGTTCAGCAGACAGGGCCAAATGCTGATACACACAAGGAATCTGCCCACTTTGGACATAATTCCTGCACTGCCGCCGCCGAGGTTTAAACCTTGGTCTCTTCTCCCAAATACTACCCACTAAACCATTGAGCTAAGCCCGTGCGGGTTAAATAAGTAATTCTAAGTTTACAAATGCAAGATAATATAGTCAAGATTGATTATAATTGTCAATAAAATAATTGTATAGGTATGGTTGAAACCAAATATGGGACATAAGGGATAACAAATAAAAATTAGGGCATAAAATATTAAATATATACTAATATTGTTTGAGGAGATTCCGACATTAGGATTTGTGGTTAAGTTCTATTAAGACTTTAATATTAGAATTAGATTAATGGTGTAGTTATAATTCTATATTAGACTTTAATATTAGAATTAGACTAACGGTGAATTAACGGAAAAGTTAAATGGATAATCATATAATTAAGGATAAATTATAAAATCTTAAAAGAAAAAAATTAAAACCTGAACAATATGAACCATTCATTGATTTAATAATTTGGCGGTCATTTTATCTACCCAATATTAATAATTAAATAAATTCGCTGGTCAAATTCGTTAGTATAATCCGCTAACGCTAACCGCTAATTGCTGATTGTCAAACAAGGACATTGCGAGGTAGTTCTCACTTCAATTTGTTGTGTGATTTGAATACTCTCTTTGTCACAAAATCTCTCAAGTAGTTAATATGGTTGGCTTTATTAATTATATTTTTTTAATTTTTTCATGGTATTAATAAAATACTTGGTAAATAAATATATAGCATTATTTTGTATTATAACTTTGATATTTAATTAGAAAAATAGTGCACAAAAAAGATAATAGATAATGTAGTGAATATAATCAATTGATTAAATTGAATGTAAAAATTTTTACATTTGAGAAAAATAAAGACAATATAACTAATGAAAATATTTCTTTTAATTAATTTATTGATAATTAATAATTTTTTTTTCACTGAATAAAGACATTGTAAGGATAATGTAGCGAATATAATCAATTATTAAATTTGAATATAAAGAATTTTTATATTGAAGAAAAATAAAGACAATATAACTAATAAAATTATTTCTCTTATTTAATTTATTGATAATGAATAATTTTTTGTTTTGAATAAAGGCATTGTGGACACATAATTCTAAATTAAAGAAATGCATATGTATTATTTTTTGTTGTAACTACTAAATTATTATTTATATAATTTAATAAGAGTAAAATAGAGTACTAATTATGCCAACTTTGATTAGGATGAGGTTCGAACCTAAGATCTTTTTTTTATTGAAATCAATGAGTAAGTTAACGGTGAACTAACGGCAATTCTTAAAATTTTAACGGAATTAGTAACGGGGTGTGGGTATTTTAGGAAATTTTAGTGTAAAATTTAAATCTGACCAATCTTTTAATCAATCTGAGCCATTCATTTGATTAAAATCTGTGACCGCCATTTTTTCTACCCATTATAGGCCTAACTCTCTTGGGCTCTTATTAGTATGAATTTTAACGGAATTAGTAACGGGGTGTGGGTATTTTAGGAAATTTTAGTGTAAAATTTAAATCTGATCAATCTTTTAATCAATCTGAGCCATTCATTTGATTAAAATCTGTGACCGCCATTTTTTCTACCCATTATAGGCCTAACTCTCTTGGGCTCTTATTAGTATAGTAGATATAGTAGATAGTAGATAGTAGATAGATAGTAGATATATATGAATTTTTTTACATAAAAAAGTGACAAAAACAACATGTTAGATGAAAAAATAACATGTCAGCATTTTGTTTTTATTTTATTTTTTCATATAAGCAAATTAGATAGGTTACTTGTTAGAAACTTGCTAAAAATGTTAGATGAAAAATAATTTGGAATATAATGGCCTAGATGGACCATATATATTTTAATTCATGGTACTAGATGAACAATCAATATTAGTACATGAGTTTATTTGACAATTCTGCTTAATTTCAATCTACGACTTAAAAATTAATAATTCAGTACCCTAATTATTCAATTTGTATCGATTAATCAAACCAAATACCGGTCAATTGTGGCCGGAATTTTTTAATTCAGTTTAATTTGTTTAATGAAGGGAGCAATATTGTCATTCCATGCGTCATCTGGCCAAACTTCACCGCCCTCTTCTTCTTCGTTGCCGCTTTCTTGTAGTTCCTCACACTTTTCCTTCATTTTTTTTGGCGGTTTACTTTGATTTGACACTCTTCTGCCGTTGCCGTCGGCATCTCATCCGGCCGGTCGTCGCCGTCCAATTTCAAGATCCTGTAGCAACACTGCCCCACGTTGTTGAATCCCTTGCCGCAGGGGATACATGTAATTGTACTTCCACAAAATCTCCCTATATTACTGTAAATACAAACTGTGACACCCTAAAAGCAGAGGATAGGAGCAAGAAGTTACTAAACTTCAAATTCCATATAACCTTCAGTACAAAGAATAATGTACAACACTGAAAACTGAAGCTCAAAAACTATACACTCAACCAGTCACCTGGTACCAATACAAGGGTCACAATAACTATCTTATTTTCCTATGCCCATAACTTTGAGACTTTCCTCCATACTAACTTGCACCATCTGAGCAAGCTTGTCCTTTGCCTTTCCTGGCTGTTCCTCGGCATCCATCCTGAATATAAGATTGCTAACGATGTTCTCTAACGTGTCGGCCTGAAGCTCATCAGCCCTCGGGCAAGGAGACTCGTCGTCTCTCAGCAGCCTCAACAGTGTCTTCGCCTTGCCTTTACCCTTGGGTGTTCCTTGAACCGTCAGCTGCATAACCCCGGGGATAGCCCCTTCTCTCAGAATTGCCTCTCTATACTTACACCGCTCGCTCTGGCACATCACCAAGAGCACTCCAACAGCATGTTCTCGGCTTTTAAGCGATCCAGTTTCGAGCACTTCCACTACCGAAAGCACCCCGTCTTCTTCAGCTGTCAAGGCAGCCCTACCCTCCTCGTACCCAACTAAAGATTCTATGAGAGCAGCACATTTCTCAGCCGTTTTCGAGGTCTTTTTACAGGACTTGAGCAAAGTGAGTATATGGGGAATGGGTTTCATCTGAAGAATTGGGGTTAAGTTGGTTGGATAAGTGGAGAGATTGTAAAGAGTCATTGCAGCATCAAGCTTGGCCTGAGGGCTACCCTGTCTGAGAACTCCGACGAGAAGCGGGATGACACCGGAAGCACTGACGATAGGCTTCGTAACAGACGAAGCAGATAGCGTGAGCAAGGCTGCAGTTGCATCCTCTTGCACAATCGCATTCTCCGACCCAAGAAATCCTATGATTGGTTCCAGGGCTCCAGCACTAATGATGCTTGCCTTGTTTCTGCAAATAAACACAACAAAACCAAGTCTCAAAAATATATGTATGGTAGCATTTATTTACCATTGCACACTATGATACTATTTAATCCGGTAAATACCAATTTTGGTCTCACTAGTATTAGCAAAATGACAGTTTTGATCCAGATGTTTAATTCTTACCAATTTTCGTCCACCATTATTGTTTTAGTACCAATTTTCATCTACCACTATTATCACACCGATCACCCTTCCGTTTAAGACATGTCGAAATTTAAACTTTTTAATATATTTTCATCATTTTCAACTTAATATTCCAATGTCAGCATAAATAAAGGGATTTAAACCTTAAAATCGATCCCAATTTTCAATTCTCCTCCTCATCCTACCTTAATTTGAGGAGGAGAACTGTGAATTAAGATCGATTATAGGACTTAAATCCCTTTATTCATGTTCAAATTGGGATCTTAATTTAAAAAAAAAAAAACAAAAATATCCTTAATAATTTCATATATCGGCGTGTCTTAAATGAAGGGGTAACGGTGTGATGAATTTTAGCACTAAAATAATTTTCATGCATGAAAATTGGTATTAAAACAATAATCTTGAAAAATGGTAGGAATTAAACATTGGACCAAAATTGTCATTTTATTAATATCAAAATTAGTATTTACTACTATACAATCTCTTGGAAAACACACCATTTCATGAGAGAGAGTATAAGACAACTACTAGCACGGACTTAGCTCACTAGTTTAATAAACAGTATTTGAAAAAAAGATATCAAAGTTCGATAAAGGTAATATGGGTTTATACCTAAAGTGGATATATTACTTGTGTGTACCGATATTTGGCTCCGTCTGCTTACCTCCTCCCAAGCCGGGTAGGGAATTTAAGATGAATAACTCCGTATTAGTCAAAGTCAATTCAATCAGAGAGTACCATTTTTCTGGTCTGCTGATTATTCTAGAAGAAAGAGGGAATATATGAAGAACAGTAGAATTTTAGAAAAAAAAAATCTTCAACAACCACGGCTAGAAATTATGGAATTTTCGACCATCTGAAAGTGATCTTATATAAAGTTGAAAGCAAAAAAAATGGTCAAAAATAGCAACAAAAATTTTTCTGAATACAAAGTGGTCGGAATAAAACTTTCGACTTAATTTAAATTATTTCCCCAAAATTTCATAATTTCCAGTGAACCAAAACATTGGAGCCGAGGAACGAGAAATGGAAATGAAAAGCAAGAATTATTCCCAGAAACGGCAAGAACATAGCATTTAATTAAAAAGAAAAGTAGGAGAATAAATTGAAAATAGAAGAAAAATAGAGTTAGAGAATGATACTTACGCATCATCTTTAACAGCGAGATTGAGGAGGGCAAGGAGCGCCGCCTGGTTAGATTGAAGGGAGGTGGAACGGAGCATATCAACGAGGGGCGCGACGGCGTTACAGAAGAGACGGCGGTAGCGCTGGGAAGTCTTAGTGAGTCGCCGGATCTCCCGGGCTGCCCGGACTTTGGCATCCGGGTCGTCGGACTCGACTAGCCGGAGAGTTTGAGTCACAACAGTAGAGCTAGAGAACGGCAATGGGGACGCCGCAGTGGCTGTTTCCGAAGGCGAATCGCCATCGGAATTCGCGTAGCTGGAGCTGGAAGGTGAAGACGACGTTGTCATAGTGGCTGCTATTCTACAGGATAGAAAAATAACTAATAAACGGAGGGAGTCTATTAATTTGAGATATAAAAATGGGAGGCTAATGAAGAGAGCTTTCAAGAACGACTGCTCCAGGTGAGGAACTTTGAACGGGGTCAAGTCATATATATATATAAATGTTCAAAAGGTGTCAAAGGAAGGGTAGAGATAGAAAAAGCGAAACGTGGAGTTGGAGGGCGTTTGTTAGAAAGTTAGAAAAATAGTTGTGGTCCCTGGAGCCAATAACAAAGTTTTTGAAAATCCATCTGTGGTCCCAACTCGCGAGTTCCGGCGGACGGCGGTGGCTCACGGCGCCGAAGTTTCGTTCGGTCGGCGGTGACTACGGAATCGGCGGTCGGCGGACGGCAGTTACCTTCTGGGAAGTTATCGGCGGGTGTTGACCAATTATTTTGTAGGTAAAAGAAAATAGTTTTGATTTTTATTTTTGCTCCCTGTTGAACACCCTCTAGATGAGGGCATGTTTGTTTTTATATTTGTTTTTATATAGGGTAATTCTACATAAACTCTCCAATTCTACTCTCATTTTGCTGCTCCGACATGTCATGCTTGCTTAATTTAGTAGGGGTCATAATATTTATCCATTCTTCTTCTTCTTCTTTTGTTTTTTTTTTTTTTTTCCATTAAATTTGAACACAAATGAGAGTAAAAGTAGGGAGTATAATTTTAGGTACATGAAGTGTTTTTGTTTTATATATTACTTTGTGAGAAACAAGTTTTTTTATCTTTTGCATGAATTGTCAAACACATTGTGCTCAGATGACATGTAGTGACTCTCCCATTTGAAAGGTCATGAGATTAAGTTTCAGTGAAAAATATATGAACAGATACTACAATGTAATATGATCGGTAGCATTTTAAAAAATCTTTTGTATAGACTTTATCCATTTGAGTTATATTTGCTCACTGTGTAGTGTGACACGCTCCAGACATGTATTTTTAATTATTATTTTTCATCTGTAAGAGTGAAAACCATGGGTCTATTTGGATGGTATTGGACCATATTTACTATATAGTTTTAGAGTGATTATACATGTATAGTCACAGAGAGCTTGAAATAAGAATATATTGATTGAACCTGAAGAAGCGAAATGTCCCCTCTCCCCTTTAGTTGCATGATCTTTTTTATAGTGGAAGAAGAATAATAGATATTCACGGTAGAGTTATAGTCTTTGGTGACCTTTATTAGTAGGATTGGTCTTTTATATGCCTGATGTATAAAAATAAAGTATTAGTACTCATTGTTAAAATTATTATTATTATTATTATTTTTTTGAAAAGATGCATTGTTAAAATCATAGTTATATATAGCATGTTTGGTTTATGGAAAATGTTTTCCTTGAATTTGAGGAAAATTAGATTTCCCTTTATTTGGTTCATGGAAAATATTTTTCTCAAAAATGAGGAAAACATATTCCATGGCCTCCCATGGTATTTTGTTTTCCATGAAAAATGTTTTTCATGGAAAACAAGTAGGACAATTATGCCCTCGTCAACTTTTCGTAATTACTATTATTATTATTGTTGACGATATTATTATGTAGGGGTATAATTGTCTTTATACTCACTATTCCGTACAATTCCAAACTCAACGAAACAATGTAATTAATCTTCTCGGTAATTTATTTTTCATAGAATTTCAATTCCAGTTCCCTTCAAATATTTTCTGTGAACCAAACGGAGCCTTATTTTTAATACTGCAAGGCTACTTTAGATAGTTTGTGATGTGTAGAAAAAGACATTGTTTTTTTTTTTTTTGAAAATAAAGAAGTTAATTCATTAATCATAGGCTGAAACGTTTACAATAAAGATCGATGTAATAATCAAACATTCCTTACAGTCAGACATAGAAACAACTTCCCTAGCAATGCTACAGAAAACTTGATTTGCATACTGTTTCACAAATTTGAAGCTGAATTCTTTGGATGAACTTAAAGCTTCTTTAATGATTAGGTCAAACGTACCCAAGACTGACACCTGAGTATCTATTTTCATTCTTCTATCCATTGATAATATCTCCATCGGGCTGAACTGCATATCATAGTTCAGATGATTCTTTTTTTTTTCCATTGTCATATTTGTCTCCCAAGATGAGATTCACATCAGTCATAACCAGTTTTATCGTTTCACGATTTATGAAAAAGAACTCGCCAAGTAAACGAGAGGAAGAAACTCGTCAAAACAACGAGGGGAAAACACATAAACTGCAAACAAAATTAAACCAGTAAAACAAAACAAAGGGAAACAATAGTGCGAAAATATGGGAGAAACGACCGGTAGCGGTCGAGATGGAGGGGTGGGGTAAGGCGTAACCGGTGGTGAAAGCAGAGAACGGAAGAGAAGACAGTGAAGGCAGAGAAGACAATGAAGGCGAACGCTGTCTACGGTGAAGATGGCGGCAAGGGAAGACGATCAGACGCCGCCTCCGATCCGCTTGCTTCACAGAGGTGGCGACCGTGTAGAAATTTGAGCGGTCGAAAACCAGAGATGAGAGAGAATTGCAAAAAGACTCATGGTTAAAATCATAGTTTTATTAACATATATATTTTTTAAATAAAAATATATAATTTTAAAATAAATTTATAAAATTTATAGTCCTTTTTTTTTTTTTTTTTTTGAAGTATAGTTGATAATTTTGATAATAGTTATGATATGATTAATAATTGGTAAAGTAAAAATGTCAAATATGATAAATGATTAAATGTAATCTAAAAATACAATAATTTTCAATCTAAGTTATATCATTGATTTATGTCTATTTTTTCTGTTAATTTTTTGTGTGTACATAATGCTATATAAAAAAGTTAGAGTTAATTCAATCAAAGGTCCCTTGTCTTTGGTGACAATTCTAAATTTAGTCCCATACTATCGTTTTTGCCATTTAACATCACAGACTATTGTTTTTTGGACACTTTAGTCCTTCTCACGACTTTTCTTATTTTTAGTAAGAGCATTTTTGTCTTTTCATATTTTTCTTTTGTTATTTTTCGAGTTTCAACCGGTTTAGAGCATCCACAATGGTTGGGGAGAATTGGGGATAATATAAGAGTGATTAGGAAAGAGAATGGGGAAATGGAAAAAAAAAAAAACAAACAAAACAAACAAAAAACTGATTTTTTTTTTTAAAAAAAATTAAAAATAAACATGGTCAGGCGCGCCCATGTGGGGGGCTGCTGTGCGCGAAACGCGCCCAGCAGCATATCTTTTCTGATATTTCTCTTTCCTTGCAGAGAAATATTTTAGCATTTGCAGGAGAAATAATTCTATAATTAATCCCACCCCACATCTATAAATAACCCCATCCAAGTTATTTCTTCTTACATTAACCTCATATTATCCACTAGTGTGGATGCTCTTAAAACTTTAGGTAACATCTGATTTTTAGTAACCATATTTTTCAACCATTTTTTTAGTAAAGTTCTAAACCAATTAAACCGATTGAAACCAGAAAAATAACAAACGAAAAATATGAAGAGACAAAAATGCCGTTACTAAAAATAGAAAAAATCATGAGAAGGACTAAAAGTGTCCAAAAAAGAATAGTCTGTGATGTTAAATGACAAAAACGATTGTCTGAAACTAAATTTAGAATTGTCACCAAAGACAAGGGACCTTTGGTGGAATTAACCCTAAAAGTTATATTACACAAGTTTTTAGACAAAAATATTCTTATCATTATAATTTTTGTTATCTTTTTACATTATTATTACTATGCACATGTATACACAATATTTTTTCTTATATTCTTAAATGATATTAAGATTTTAATTAAATGTTATCATAATTATATTTAGTAATTTATTATTTATAAAATTCTTACTTCAATAATATTAATATGGAATCTACAACTATCGGGTGTGGGGGACCCTTAGGGTTGGGGTTCAACCTTTTGGAAGAATGAAATCTACAACTATAAATAAATAAATAAATAAAAATAAAAATACACACACTATTATTTAAAAAATATTTTAATATAACTAAGAATTTAAATTAATATTTGTCTTATATTAATGATACATAAAAGTGGGTATCCGCAGTGGATAATAATTGCTATCCCTGGACCAATGTTCCCACTGTCTCATGGAGTGAGGATTGGTTGTGCAAAACACATGGAAAAGGTTTTTTTTTTTTTTTTTTTTTTTTGAGAAAACATGGAAAAAGATTTTAGGCATTATTACGTTTATGAATGGACTACCACGTACCTTAGGTACACATATATAGGGTACACGTATATGGAGAAGAGAAGGTACACATATATAGGGTTCTGGGATTTTTACTTGTAATACTATACCAAATTTTTTATTGTAAAAAATAAAAATAAAAATGACCGACCACATAAAAAACCTCTGAAATATGAATTATGTTGATTTTCGAGAAATAAAAAGTAACAAATATTATGCTATTATCACGTTCAACATGAATTTTTGGAGGATATATGTTCGTGGATTGTTTTATTTCCACCTTTCTAATAAGGGAAAATGGCACTTTTTCCCCCTGTGTTATATGCTTATAGCACTTTTTCCCCCTGAGTTATTCATGCATTCACATTTGCCCCCTCAATTATTATAGAAGTGGCGGTTTTTCCCCCTGATAATATTAAATGGACATTTCTACCCTTAAAACAAATATTTTATTTATTTCTCTTCTTCACCAAATTATTGCTTATACGTAGGGATGACCACGGTTCGGTTCGAACTGAACCAAACACTATAGCAATCAAATTAAAAAATTTCGGTTATGATTCATAACATAACCCAATATTTGGGTTTCCGTTTATTAAAATCGTGAACTGGAAAAAAATGGATCCTAAACCGTGAACCGGAGGTTCAAATCGGAACAACTACTAGCAATAGCTTAAATTAGAATTATAATATTTGCAAATAGTGCATGTTTTTTTCCGCATTTATATTGACTCTCACATATAAGTATATATAATCGCGATTTGAGTTTTATTTTGAACCGTCGGTTCACGATTTTGGATCCAATTTGAACGGTTGGTTCAAATTTTCTTTTAAATTTTTTTATTTTTATTTTTAAAATATTCTAAATTTAACACTTAATGTATTTTATTTTTTCAAATCGTGGTTATAATTTGTTGGAGAAGAAAAATAAATGAAATATTTATTTTAAGGGTAAATATGTCCATTTAATATATCAGGGGGAAAAACTGCCACTTAAATA